AAATTTCGTTCAGTGGTTATTTATTTTACTTTCGCTGCTGCAGTGCTGATCGGTACACGGCAAAGACGTATAAATGAAAAGTTAAAGTTGAAATAATTCATCTGCAAGAAGAACGCGAATAATAAAACGTGTGAATTAGACGAAATTTGCTTTCACACAAAAATTTCATTGCGTGAAAATTTCCCGTCTCACAGTATAAAGCTATACTGTTAAAAATATACATACGCTTCACTTTTAGCATTATTAGGATTAGCGGGAGAAAAATCACTTCTCATAGACATTGGGTCTGCTGTTTGTGGAGCGCTTTTAGACTTGGATTCAGCGTCTCCATGCAAACTAGGTTCTGAACTTTTAAACGTCGTTGTCGTAACAGCTGCATCATCAACAATTTGCTTTGGTCTTGTTCCAACAGTCTGATATCTTGGATTTTGCGGCTGACCACGGAATGTGTCAAACTGATCTGCCCATGTGTCCTGGTAAGTTTGCATCGCTTCTCGTTTTTCTCGTTCCTTTCTTTCTCTCATTTCTTGCCTTTGTTTTTCTGAAGAAAACAACGTGCGTGTGGTTATTTGGAAGCAATTTAAAACTAGCCTATTAAACAAGAAGCATGTTAGCAGAACAGAAATACAAAAGGAATAAACGTTACTGGGTATTGTAGATTTATGGTCTGTTGTATTGTTTTGTTAGATATCTGAGAAAGAGCTGAAAATTGGCTAATTTATGTAATTTAGGTGATTAGTATGCACAAATTTCAACATAATATAATTAGTTGAGCATATTATGAGTAACTATGTGCTGGCAGTTTCAATAAAATGTGACGAGTGGTACTGGAGATATTTGTGCAAAAGCTAAAAATTGGCTAATTTCAACCAAAAAGTAATCAAAAAATAATTTGGATTTCAATCAAAAAGTAATCAAAAAATAATTTGGATTTCAACCAAAAAGTAATCAGATCTGTGCATTAAAGTTGTATTGTTGGCATGTGTACGGTAATAAATGTAAATGCTACGAATTCATCAAATATCCACATTATCCACATAGCTAAACAACACCAAGCAGTTCTGTGGATATGCTTGTAAGTTTTCGGCATCTTAGGGGGTCAACAAATCCACATGCAGAATTCTCTGTTGCCTATATTACGAAATTAATATTCAATGCAAAGTGCTTTTTATTAAGGTTTAGTCTGTATATGGGACTCTTGAGTTGTTTTCTGTATAGACATTAAGTCTCCCCTTTTGACTATTTCACTCAATGAAATTTGAATATTACATATTTTCTAGGTTAGTTGTGATTAGCTTGCATCTAAGGCAAAGTTCCAACAGCAATGCATGATGGGATTTTTTGTAGTAAAAGCAAAAAATAACATAACAATGCAATATGCAAGTTTTGATCAGTATAAATATCCCTGCAACATCAAATTCACTAAAATTAAACACAGTGAAAATGTTTCCTGCAGTACATGAAGTTCCATTAACATTTTCACCACCAGACTTCCTCACAAAAAAATTAAAATTTGAGTAAATTTTCAGTTTTTACTCAAAAAATTTGACTATTTTAGTCCAAAACTATTTTGTGAAATTATTCACTGGTGGTGAAAAGGATAAACTTTGAAAATGCTAGGGTTGTAAATTTCATGGGACACATTTCTTTGAATTACACAATTCACAAGTCAGCATTTATTAGGGTTATCATCAAGGATGAATACCATTAAAACAAATCTTATTGAATTCTGCAATATGGTTGTATATTATGCTGTTGTTCTCAAAACCAAAAATATACGATCACTAAACTACTTTATGCACAAGACACAGGTCATACATTTTTTTATTTTTGAGATATTTACCACTTGTTTCCAGAGTAAAAAATTCTCAGCATATCTCAACTACATATGGTGAAAATATGAAATAATGCTCTATACATGGATTCTTATGGAAATTGTAATTTTTTCGATAGTTTTTCTCAAAAAAAGAGGGAAAGAATTCAAAAAATTTAATCAAAATCTGAATCAATAATTATGTAACTTGTGATAAATTTTTCACCCTTATTTAATGAATGGTTGAATACCGTTAATGAAGGGAATCACAAACATCTTTGAATATTTGTAGTCTCTGTGACTGCCCTCTTACTATCAAAATCATGAAATACTTATAAAAGTACCTAATTCTTGCAGCCATTGTTGCTTTTCTTCTCTTTTCACAGCGCTGTGTTGATGCTCTCTGGGTGAGATCTCACCGAGTACAAAGGAACTTCTCATGGCGGCTGGCACCGCTGGCTCCTGAGTGTACTGAGCTCTAGGGGGCGACAGACTTTGATATGCAGCAGGTGCTCTAGTTTGTCTGGATTGATTGTGCTGAAATGTAAAGTGTTGTCGTTATTATAATTAATCATCTAGATCGCAGTAAAAACATTACAGCATTGTAACATGAGTGTACACATACTCATTGTAAATTCAATTTGCATCAATATAATCTTTCACTGTGATTTGCTGTCTTAAAAACCTCAATGAAATTGTTCACTGCTACAAAGGTCACTGTGACTCACTGTCTCAAAGATACCGATGAAATTTTCACTTCTATAAATTTTTGCGGGATCCCTGACATGCAAAATGTGTCAAATTAAAAAAATCAATCAGCAACCAAAGATAAAATTACAGTGTCTTGTAAGTTTAAAATTACTGCAATTACCTGATTTTCAGGTGCAACCACTGAGTGGACCTCATTGGGAGCACCACCACCGGACCGTCCAAATGGAAACCACTCATTCATAGACCTCTGTAATTCTGCATCTTGTGACTTCCTCAAATTTCTCTTCTCACCTTCATGTTTCTTCTTTAAAGCCACCTGATCATCTGCAAAGAACAGAAAAAAACAATAAAGACCAATTTTAATCATTTCAAACAATTAGCTCTATACTGGTAAACCAATTTAGTATACTGTAAAATACTTAGCTGGACCTAATTTTCGCTGAATAGACTTTTTGAGTGTTTTGTATGGATTTTATTTTCACTGATTTTTGATAAGTTTAATGTGAAATATAGGAAAAAAAGTATATTCGCTGGATTTTATTTTTACGGAATCATCCCTTCAGCGAAAATAGCGAAAATAAATTCCAAGGGGTAATAAAGTATTCTACAGTATATCAATTTCTTTTTATCAAACTACAGCATTGTCGTGATATGGTCTTATAATATTTGATACAGTTTTACTTAGGTACACACATTAGGATGATACCACAAACAAAATTGGAAGAATTTACTTCATCCTCTTATGCACCGGTATAACTCCATGAATCTATGCAAAATGATAGAAAGTCTTTATGTTTTCAGGAAATGATGTAATCTATATTTTGAGTAAGGTTCTTACAGTTTTCATGTCATGAACTCTTGAAAGAAAATGCGGAAGCATTTCACATCAGATAATAATTTACCATGCATGTTGAGTGTATTGCAAACTACCGGTATTTTTAAATAGCACAAAGAAAAAAAAAATGTTTTTCCCCTATATTTGAATAGAATACAAAAATAAAAGAAAATTTTCTGTGTCATTGTAAAAATGTATCAAACTCCATAACTGTATACAATGTATAATGACCGTCTTCTCAGAGAAAAACAGTGAAGAAGTCATTGGAGTGGAATTCTTACCTAATTCCTGCTTCCACTGAAGTCGTTTCATCTCAGCTAAACTTCTATCATTGTACCCTGTTGTTCCTATTATGCTGCCGATATTACCCATACCTGTTGCGTAATCATTCTCGCCTGCAATCTGACGCGTCGCTTTCTCATTCTGGCTTCTCGGAACATCTTCTGTTTCTGCCTGTTCCCTCATTGGCGATTTCACCTTCACTTCTTCCCTGTTAAGTAAATTCTCTTCAAGGGAAACTTCTTCCTTCTGCTTCAATGCTTCGGAAGATTTCTCTGAAACGATGGATTTTTCCTTTTCTGCAGTCAGTTTAACCTCTCCACTCTCTGAAATATGATCAAGGTGATTGTCACAAAGAATTCAGGATTCGTTTATTATAAAAGGTGTGTCGAAGTAACAGTACATATTCGTAGTTGTACATTTGTGCAATTCACCTTTTCATCAAAAGAATATTATTTGGGGTTTTTGATTTGAACGAATCTTGCGTCTTAATGAGTATGCAATATTCAAAGTTATCCACATTACTCTTTTAACATAATGACAACTATCAGCACCATATGCAACCCCTAAGCCCGGACAAAATTTAAAAAAAAAGGTTTTCATTGTTTTCTTTTTGGTCAATTTGTTTTTGAAAACAATTTTAAAATGTTATTTTTTTTTCAAAATTGTAAGTTCCTTTAGTTTTGTTTCTTCTCTGAAATTCTGACGAAAACCTGAAAATCAGAACCAGAAACGTGAATATATTGATATCTGCACCAAAAACCTGATTATTTATATTTTTATGAACCAGAAACCTGAATATATTATTTTCTTGGCAGAAACCTGGATATATTATATTCTAGGCATAACATATCGAGGTCAAATTTGTGTCTGAAGACACATTTCAGAACCACTGTGTTTATAAGATGAATTCATAGTAAAATAGTCCGTTCATGTGGAGTAATACTTATGGACAATTCACTCACCAACTGCAATATTTGTACCAATAGCAGCCAACAAAGCATTCAACTGTTTCTGTGTCATTGTTACCATATCGCTATCTCCTTTTTTTTTACCATTATCCAATTTTGTTCTAGACTTCTGTTTTCCAGGACCACCAGTATTTTTAACGGCAACAGTATTTCTCTTGATGAAATCTACTGAGGGTTTTTTCTTCACTTGCGATTCATTCTCATTGTTTTCGTCCTGTGTTGCTGCTTTTTGAAGTTGTGTTCCTGGTCTTCTCAGTGGATACTTTTGAGCTTTCTTTTTGTAACTGAACTGAGATCAGATAAAAAAAAAAATTTTTAATTTAATGGTAGTATCAAAAGAAATATCACTCAAAGCGTTAGTCAAGAAATTTCAAGTTTTCCAGTTTCAAGCAACAACTCCAATGTATGTGATAGATTGCGGTAGTACAAAATGTTATAGATAAACAAGAACTAAAGAGGGGAAACACAGATTTGAAATTTGATTTGTTTTTTACAGAAATTTTAACAGACTTTCAAGAAATCAAGTTGTTCAAATGCATCAGCAAATTCATCGAATGTGACTGATAAATTTATTGCTGGGAACAGAAATCTAAACATTTCATTGCTTTGGAATATAAACTATATATCTGAATATTCGTATAAATATCCTACCTTTTTCTTCTTTACTGGGTCAGGATCTGTTAAAATAATATTATAAATTACTAATTAGTATTGAAAAATGTAAAAATGTTATCTATGTATTTAACATTTATTATGCTGTATTAAAACTATACTCCCTTGCATCACCTCAATACACAATGGCAATGTACAGTAGACATTCACTGCTAGATCATGCGTTATGCGTGAAATCGAACATAAAGACAGGACAAACAGAGGTCATAGCATCATAGTGGGGACAAACATTGTGTGGGATTTGACAAACGCGAAAGTATTTTTGGGGATATTGAACCTATTAAATAAGTATTTTGTATGTACCATTCTCCAAAATAAATATGCAAAATCACTCACAAATTTTCTAGATATAATAAGTTTCTTAAACATTGCACTAGTATTGATCATGATGTACTGCACAGATTTAGTACTATCAAAAAGGGTATCAAGTATATTCATACATAAGTAGTGATATGTTTTATTTTAGTATATTATTGCATGTGTTAATGCCCATTTTTGTTTTGTATGTTTTTTTGTAAAATTGGGACTTTACACCTGTTGGTTGTTCAAATAAATAACTAAAACTGGATATCATAATCTAACATCGCTCACCATTTCTAGTGAACTGTTGGTATGTAGTGTCTCTCATTTGTAACTCCAGATTTCAACACGTCAAGCAGTGTGTTATTTACACTGGTGAACAAAATGCAAAGTTTCACTACTTATGGACACCTGTGCATGGCCATTATAATAAAAAAGCCTTGTATTATACCAATTCTGACTTTTAGGTTATTACTGAACCTCTAGCAGGATATACTAGTCACCGAGGTGTGAATAGATAATAATTGAAAGCATTATTAAAATTAAATTGGTATCATAAATGTCAAATATAAGGGTAAATGCATGATATATTTAGTAAACATACAGTGATTACCATGGAAACAATCATTTTGCATTTAAAACTGGGCAAGTGGACAGGCTGTGCAAGTATTTTTGTATCATAATGATATTACAAGCAATGGTCGAAATTAACACCTCATAAAGGTTCGCATGAAATCACAACCTTGAGTAGATGAACCATTCAGCTGGTACCATGCTTGTCCAGTAATGTACTTGGGCGTTTAAAGGTCACGCATAAATTTTAATATTCAGTCCTTGATGCTAGCCAAGGCAATTTCTATTATTATTTTCAGAAGCTTTAAAAAACGTGCTTGCTGCTCTCCAAAATTAAACACAGTATTGCAGAATATGTTGAAATGGTAAATTGCAGGGTGTCATGTATAGGGTCTGTGTTACGTTTTGCCAGCCACCTGTCGTTTTAGACAGGCAATCTCCATTTTAGATGACCACAAAATTTTATTTGACAGACTAAACTCTATAAACCTGTCGACTTTTGATTGAAAATTTCCACCGTCAATTACTGTAAAGGGGGTAAAATTATTAGCTTATTATGCTGACTGGAGAAATGCGCTAAATTAAAACACAGTGAATATGTAAAATTTAGCATAGAACACATTATCTAAATGACGAAACCGTGAATTTAAAACCCACTGAATATGCCTGAAATGGTAAATCAGTGAAATTTAAACCCAGTGAAAATTAGTCATTTTACAGTACCTTTGCACTGAAATATATTGCTACCACATTGTGTGAATAGACAAACATTTTATAAAAGCGGTATTAGCTGCGTTTTTGGCAAGTTTTGTAATACTGATCAAAAGTGTTTACGATACAGAATGTAAGGTCAAATCATCGTCTCATGGTGTTGAGGGACTGTGATCAAATGTTGGGACATGTGGGCTATGCATATGCAAATAGCAATGTGACAATAGGAAGATTAACTTTTTTTGTTGTCACTAAATTTAAACAAATGAACACTGTACATGATAACAATGATGGGAGTGGTGAATAAAAAAAAAGGGGGGTAAGCGACTTGGTTGAATCATAGACCTTGTTTTCTAAGGTCTATGGGTTGAATGAAGAAATATCTCGCTACAATTCAGCATACCACAAGACAAAAGATAAAATGAACTCTGATTACACGCACAAATACCATTTGGTATCATTTTATGAACTTTGTGCAGAATAAGATAGTAATTTGTAATTGCACAATTGCGATAAGGGTTACGATTATAAACAGTTCTGGGAGAGAAATTAGGGTAAGGTTATAGGTTCATTTATTGCAAAGGTTAAGTCTCAGTATGATTTGAAAGAATATATCATTAATATTTTACCAAGAAGAAATACTAAATTGTAGAGCATATTAGCCCTATTCTACAACCACATTCAATTTATAAGTTTTTGAGTTACAGAATTGCCTTTGCCAGATGTATATGCAACATGGGACAAATATTGGAACACAACACAGTGCAATGACTATAGAGGTTTAATCATGGATTCTTACACAACAATGTAATCCCTGACAAGTTTTTACTTTCATTTTGGAAGCTTTTTCAAACACTAAAACTAAACCAAAAAACCTAATAGGGCAAAGTCGTTACTAATTTACTAGTCGTTACTAATTCATATGAACATATCAAACTTTTTTGTTCTACTTGAGAATTCATCAATTTAAAACCCGGTGAATATGCTGAAAATAGAGAAATTAAATACCTCTACAGTATTACCCGGTATGTTTAAATCCAGGCATCAATCACCTTATAGAATTTGTGTATTCCAATACATGTATTTACCACATTACGAATACAGAGATAAAACAAGAAATTACTTACTTCCTAACAGGTAGACACCAGCCGAACCCTGCTTTGCCAGTGCGGCAATACGTAGACCTTCTCTGTAACACAGTGAAAATAATAAAATTGTTAAATTGTATTGTCAATGAAATTTTGCTCTTTAAAATATAAGGCATTGATAAGCTATCCTGATCGAAACCTGACATTTATCAAAGTTATTATTTTCTTCACTAACTTCACTAGATTGTGTCATACATTGCTGTTTTGAACTGTGCTTTGAGTGTGTGCTAAACATGACTACCATAAGTATATTACATGTTGTATGTTCAAAGTTTGCTCAGGCACAGTTGCAACACAAGTAAATGAAACACAAGATACATGTGGCACTATGAAATACTAAAGGGTTGTACAGGGAACAATGGGAACTGATTCCCATAGTAGTTGTGTTCACGTTACACAAAGTACGGGCTAAGATTTAAGCTGATTAAGGCTTATCTAGCATATTTGCATTTCGGCTAGACACAATTGCGTCCACGCACAGGGAGGGCCAGTCGTTAGCACGGGCTAAGGGGCGCCATTAGACGGTGACCTTTGGTGAAGCGCCGTGCACGGGAACGCGAGAGAAGACGGACCAAACTTATTTGGATGCACAGAAACAGTATACAACGGCGTAACAGAATACAGAGTTTTATTAATGCCTGTCGTAGACAGCGAACCAAATTTATTTTGTCTACAATTGGAGCTGCTGCACGCTCTACTCATGGAGGTACCATGCTCTACTACAGCGACCCGATCAGTGTGGAACCGAGCGCAGAGTAATGACTGGTGGAATAGAGTCGTTATACGAACATGGGACAATGCAACATTCCTCGAAAACTTCAGTTCTGTTAACTTTTGGAATGAGAAAGTTGGACGTATTTGATCATGTGCATATTTTTCACACCCAAAGGTCGCCGCAGAGGGCGCTTAGCCCTGGGCTAAGCGTTCGCGCAGACTTCGTTAGCCCGTGCTAAGGGTCTAGACCGCGTGTTAATTTCGGATCAGATTTAACCCGTACTTAGCATTCCTTAGCCCGTGCTAAGCGTTCGCGCACGTTTTCTTAGCACGGGCTCAGGAATTTGACCCCTTAGCCCGTGCTAAGGAGCTGTGCATGAACGTATCTAGTATTTTGATTCTGAGATAAGATCATTTTCAAATCAGTGATCAGAAAATATCGAGTTGTATAATCAGTGACTTGATGATGCCCCAAGATATAGAAAACTTGCAAAAGAATCTATAGCAATGCTCGGTAATTTGTGATTGTTGGCATGAAGCTTTTGATGCTGATATCTTGTGAATACTGTTGCATTTGGTACAACATTAAAAAATATTACGAGGTTATTGTGCGTATACTGATGCAAAGTATTACAACAAGAGTATCAACAGATGCACTAAAAAGGGGGATGCAAGCTATTACTGCCTGAGTGCATACTTTGCGGTATTCTCCTAATACTTGTAACATTATTATACATTTTTCCAATCCAATCACTTGGTATAGGATGCTCAGAACTGAGCAAAATAGTGACAATTATGGTAGGGTGCAGAAACCCTGTACAATATCGCAAGATACAGTGATACAATGACAGATGTATAATGATTTATATACAAGCATATGTCAAATACTTCAAATAAACTATAGTCGACAATGCAACTATAAAACTCCACTACTATGTAGTTTAATTTGTATTACATGCAATGCAATAACATGAGCAAACAATAGAATGTTTTAAAATCATGTTTACATATCATAAAACACAATTATCGGAAGCTGTGGACCTGCAACCACAGCGTTGTGAATCAATGATACCGGTACTCACGCAGTAGAAACTCTGGCACAGCCGACATTGTCAACATTATGCAACAGATTGTCCAACATGTTGGCTGTGGTCAGCACGTCCATCACTTGTAAAGGTACACGTCGGCCAGCTAGACAGTGTTCAGGATAACCCTTGAAACGCTCGACGACAGTTATGATATTATGTTTTTTAAACTCAGTGATTGTATTCCGACTCGTAAGGCGTGTGAAAACAAGTCGAAATCGACATTGAATCTAGCGATTTCTACGAATTCGTGTTACAGCACGTACGGAACATCGACGCCTGATTTGTTTGCAGTCGCATCGGTTTATCACGGTATTTAAATTTGATAATTCAAAGCATCCTGCCTAAAAGGCTCTATAGTCAAGCCGATTGCTAAAACTGTTATAAACAAAAACACATTAGGATCGTTCACCTCTGCGTACGAATCAGACAGCGCAACGACGACCGGGGTCAAAATTGACGGCAATATTTTAAGCCAAATCCATAATCTTACTTACCCAATATTCATCTTTCATTTACGGGGACATTCTTACTTAACAGATGAACGAGATTAATATATCACTATACACGTAAATTGATCACAATCACAAGTTTTCTTTGGTCTTTACGGTGGTATACTACTCCACAGTTCGTTGTCAGGAATCTGTTATTACTCATGGGGTCAAAGGTGAATTTAAATTATTGATTCACCACCGGGGGCGCTATTTCGTATCCTTCATTGTAAAAATTCGCCATGCGATATCCACGTAAATTTATAGTCAAACTCGTTTGGAATTTGGCAAACACAATGAATATTCTCAAATAGTGAAATTAGAGTCTATTCACATTTATTATAAATATGTAATAAATCACTCTCATAACAAACTAAAACAAAAGATGTGTCCTTTCCATACATTTCATTTTGAGATTACCAGAGGTTCATATCCCTTAGATTTATAAATGTCAAATGTAACTCGGCCTTTGAACTCAGTCTGTTTTTCACAAATCTGACTAAATTTAAGACAAGCGCTTACCCTGGTAAACTGATACATCGCTACAATCTCAATATTTTATGGTGCATATATTGGTCAGAGGATTAGTACCTTGCAGATTTGCGAAGTGGAAATATAACTTTAAATATCATATGTATGAACCTCGTTGAGGGCAAGAAAGCAAACTAAATCACTTCACAATAAATAAAGAATGTGCAGATACTAAATATCAAATTTTATTTGTTGTACAATTAAAAATAAAACAATTTATCATTTGTATAAAAAGATTTTTTTTCAAAGAGAAAGTTGTAGAAACGAGTACATCAGGTTTCATGAAGGCACTGGTTCACTTTCCTAATTTAATGTGCGTTCTGTAAACTTCGATATATGATTAACTAATTTCAAGTGTTTACAAAATCTTTTGCATTCATGACAGTATCTTGGCCAATCTCATGGGTAATGAGTGTTAACAAAAATGGTTTCTACACCCAATGAAATCATCTCGTTTGGATTTAAATGACTTGGGCAGATCTTTTGGTTTTATAAATAATAAATGTCTATGAAACAAAAATTCACACCTTCATGAAACCCACTGTAAAACAGTATCACTCACGACAACAAGGCATTCCCTTCATCTTTATAAATATTTATAAAAATAAAGGAATGTTTCTGTTGCACAGAGAGTGACAAATTAAAGCAATTTTCAGTTCTTACAAAAACAGACATATCAAAATACAAAACTTTCAATATTAACTTCTACATTAAATAAATGATGTACACATTAAAAACAACAAGTTGCTGGTTTTAGAAGAATTGATTAATTAATCTAATTGGTATAATAATCCCAAATAGCGCATCGGCTTTATTTGTAACAAATGCGCTTATGTAAATGACAGAGGTAAGTGTGTGATCAAAATCCATTCTTGGCTTATGTGTGCTTCTATTGGAGATCCGCTTCTAATATTGGATGCAACATTTTGTATTTGATGAATGTATTCCCATGTTCTGTGATCATACACAAATTAGGGTACATACATGCCATTAGAAAATGCCAGAGCTGAATACATCTTGCTTGCATACAAATATTATCAATGTTTCAAACTACATTGGCAGATAGCAGTCGAAAATATTTGCAGTCACCACAAGAGCTTACATACGGCATAAAAAGATCCGCTGTAAAAATCAAATGATTCAATTTTGAACTTTTGAGAAGATTCAAGAATATATCAAAATTTACAACCATCTAATGTGTATCGCAGCACATTATTAAAGTAGCGATTGCTGTGATTTAAAAATAGTTTTTGTTTAAATATAATCACATAACCAAATCTTACCGAAAATATTGTTTATTTGAAATCATGGAGGGTGGCTGGAAGAGCGTGGTCGAAGCAAATTTGTTTTCCACGTTGTCTTGTCTGTACATTTTTATTTTTCTTGATTTGCCAATATCTTTTCCATGCAATTTTTTTCTCTCTTTGTGTCCAGATTGCATAATTTTTTTTAAACAAATTTTCTGGCCATCCCTCATGCTTTCAAATGATCGACTCTTTATGACACACAACGCACACTATTATGGAAAGCAAAACATGAAATAGTCAGAGAGATCGAGCCTTAGCCTCACAAGATGGTGGCGTATTTAACATTTTGGCCATGGCCAAGGTCATATTGTACCACAATCCCAGAGGTCAGCTTGAAAAAAATTCAATAACTGTTATAAATTGTTTGATTTCATGCATAAAACGGGATGTTGCAGTGAGCAAAAAATTATTTAGTTAGTGCACTGAGAAAAGTGCCAACCAGAATTTTCAAAAACAAATGTCAGATATCTTGTAATTCTTACAGCTGAACTGGCAGTGTAAAGTCTAACTGTAAGTACATGTGTCAATGGTTTACTGGGTTTTATTTCTGCTGATGGCAAAATGCCAAAATCTGTCACAAAGCAGTGAATTTTAAACATACTGAATAGCTCTGCAACATCAAATCTGCTAAAACCAAGGTAAACATTGTTAAAAAAGTAATAGAAATATCAATACCAAAATAATAAGTTTTCTTGAGTTGCAATGGAGGGAAAGATTATTATACTTATGTTATCACTTAAAACATTTCAGATTGCAAATTTAAAGACAGGAAAAGTAAATTCAAAAATATTCTAAGAATTGGTTATGGTTATTTTGGTGGCAGTGTTATATAATTCAGGACCAAGTGTTGGCATCCAAGAACCAAAAATTGAAATCCAGGGACCCAGTGTTGGAATCCAAGGACTGAGAATTGAAATCCAGGGACCCAGTGTTGGAATCCAAGGACTGAGAATTGAAATCTAAGAAACAAGTTTTGCAATCCAGGGTCAAAGGTTGGAACCAAGAAACAAAATCCATGAACCTGTTTGTTTGAATCGAGGGACCAAAAGTTGGTTTCCAGGGACCAAGTGTTGGGATGGGGCAATTTTTAAAAGACATTTTTTATTGTATTCTCCTGTCATGTTGAATCCATTTTTCTTCGCTTTGAATTAAATGAATCTGAAATAAAACAAAAATAAAACAAATTATTACATCGCATTGAAACTGTTAATTAGAAAGCACACCAGACAAATATTAAGAAAATTATTCACCAAAATTTCTTACTAAAACAAAAGATAAAATGATAAATCAATAAAAAAGCTAAAAATTGGCTAATTATGCAAATTGGGTAATTATTATGCATTGATTTCAAACCTAAAACTAATCAGTTTTTCAAATTGTCCCAAAGGCATCTGTGTACCAAGTTTCATTGAAATGCAATGATTAGTGCTTAAATGTCGATTGAAAAACCAGGAATTGACTTACAATAAAGCTAATTAGATAATTAATAGTCAATTTTAGATTTTCATATTAAACTACCTGGTTGTCAGGTCTTTGAAACTTGATGATTTTTCCGATAATGGTAAGACAGACATACATACAATTATTAGTTTAACTCACCAGACTTGTTGTCGCCATAAACCTTTGCAGTCAGTAGACCAGACTGCTGCCTGGTATTGTACGTTGGCTTCACATTGGGGAAATGGTTTGTCATCTGAGCATTGAATGTCAATGCATTTGGTGTCAACTTCTTTGGAGTTCTTGAGGTAGATTTGCCACCGCTGGGATTTCCAAAATTACTTGGTTTGATCTGTTTGCTTCCACAATTGTCTGTTTCCATAGCAACAACATTCTCCACGTCATCCATAGTCAGGGTGGCATCCCAAAGTTCCGGATCATCTTGAGAAATGAAAAATTTGAGATATAATTTAGAGAAAATTGATATCTCCCATATCTCCCGTCTTGGTAGAGCCAAGGTAAGTAGGTACGAAGTAGAACCTACCTTCACCAAGGAGAACACCCTCAGTTGGCTGATTTCCAGCAACGTCAGGTGGAGCAATGATTTGGTGATTCGGTACAATGATTGCTGCAGGTGCATCCTTTGGTGGTAAATCGCATGGCGTTGATGTGGCCAGTGGAGATAATCTACCTGTAAATGTGTAAATCAAAGTAACAAAACTTAAGGCTAACAGAAATGCATAAAGACAGTGATGTATACAAGCTAAATATTTGTATTCCTTAAAAGTAAACTGTTTCAACTGCATCATCAGAGCCAAACTTAATACTGTATACACACACACACACACACACACACACACACACACATAGAGAACAAAACACAAGTCCCCGTTTTTAGACTGCGTCTGAATGAGGTGAAGGTGAAACGGTGACGTATTACCATTCATCATTGTAGCCCATTCATCCGCAACCAGAGGGTGCTGTCTAGCTGGTGTTTTCATTTCTTGCTGCTGTTGCTGCTTCTTTTTCAAATTCTCCCTGAACTCCAGCTGTTTTTGTTGTTGTCTTAATTTCCTCTGAAGCAATTCATCAGGGGCTGCAGTGGACGACGAGGTTGATTTAATGGTTGATGATTTGGGGGGCAAATTTATTTCTCTTGGATTGGTTTCGTTTGATGATGAACTGGCAGGCATCCTGGTAACGCAAACAACCAATATAAAGATATTATGTATGAGAAGACTTTGGTAAGCAATGAGGACAACAATCTCAGTAGAGATAAAAAAAAATCACAGTAGTATATCCTCATCAAAAATGAGTATTAGATGATCATAGCAAGTTGACAGGACTCTTAAGGAAATGATTAGGAGCAAACAAAAACAATACATTTTACACATGTTGTATACATCACTATGGGTATCATATTGAACATGGCATGGTGCGATGACAGTAGCGCTTTAACGTTTTGAATGTATAATGACAAGAACACATAAAAATAGGTAATATTCTAATGATAAAGTATACAATAAATGCAATTTTTGCTTTATATGCAATTCTAAGAGAGGACACACTCATGTTCAGGTCAATGTACTAAAAATAAACTGATGAGAACACAACATAACCAGTACATGAAACAAGACTGATCCAAGAAAAATTATGCCTGAAAAATTCACAGTGATAGTAGCTTCATTGATCTGTCAAGCTTGTACCGACATAGGATCAGGCAGTTATCCCAATCAAATTATCCAATCAGAGTCAAATAAATTACATGAAAGTGTCAGCTGTGTTTTCAATACATACATGTATAATTCAGGGGCTTGGAAGAAAATGAGAAATAGCAAACAAATGTACAGTAATTGTGACAAGAGATAACAAGACCATTGGATCTCATTCATGTACACATGTCTGAGAGTAATAAATGTCAACTTACTTTGGTTCTTGTTTGATGCATTTATTAGGCACAGGTAAAGATCTTTTAATACCATCTGCTCTTGGCTGTACAACACAATTAGGTGCTTTGAAAGCACTATCAGATGAAGCAGATATGCCTGGAACAGGTGTATTCTTTATTATAACTGGCCTGGCAATACGTGAACTGGGCCCTGCAGTCTGTATACTGCTTGGGGATATAAATGCACTAATGTTCGATCTGACTTCCAAATTATTCTGATTTAAGGGGCTGTTTGTTGAATTTATCTTTGGCCCTGAAGTTTTTTCAACAGGTGTCATCTTTTTAGCCTGATCGTTGCTAGGAGAGATATTCTGATTCCCGGCTCTGCTCATACTAGGGCCTGCAATCGCTTCAGGAGTTCTGATGGCAGTTCTCAAATGATGTTCATGTTTTTCTGCATCAAATATTTCTGTATCCATAGCGACAGGCTGATTAACGGATGCCCCGTTATGATGGACATGATTAGGTTTTTTGTATCTAGCTTCTTCAACATGTTCACTAATGTCATTCCTTTTCATTTCTGAAAGATCGTAAGATCTTTGGGGCTACAAGAAAAAACATGCATTATTTAATACACAATAATAGTAGAAGACCATTGATAGTTCATTATAAAAATGCTTTAAAACTGATAAAAAGTTGCCCAATGCCCACACAATTACCTTGGAAACTTAATTGCATATTCAGGCATAAACAAATGTTGGCTACATAGTGGTGAGGCAGGGATGCAAATGATTTCATTGTGTAAACATTTGATAGCCCATCAGCGCACCGGGAACCAGGGAAACATGTGAACAAATTGTGTGATCTAGATATCAACGACCCATTTTTGTACAGAAACCGACTGATGACGCTATTGCTCACTATGGGTCAATTATCAAACGTGACGCGGTGCCACAGCTGTAGAACCTAAAACTGCTTTGTTCCTCTAAACTATTAAAACTGACTTACAGGTTTAGGAGCTTTTCCAATGTATTTCAAGTAATCCTTATCACCAAGACAGTTGCCAAGACCATGACCAAAACTCCTGCAAAGGAATTTTCGCATATATCATTTTCACACAATTTAAAACATTCGTCTACATTGTCACAATTTTAAAAACAATTATATTCAAAAGCAGCCCCGAATCCCCACATCAAGGTACTGTAAATAGTTTAATATTTACCGATACTGCTAGATTTGATAGCATTTGTGAAAACAAAATTTCACTGACACCGTATATATATTATATATATTTATTTATTGCCAGCCAAATTAAAATCATAATACAATGCAAGTTCAAAGCCAACTGAAAAGTTATATTTGTGTATATTTGACAGTACAGTACAGGGAATACAAATGGAGAGATAGTCATGTTTACAATCACGTCAATGTACGGGGTACTTACTTAAGCGCCCTCTTGAGACCATCTGTCACTGCTTCTTTCCTTGCCTTTTCTAAAGAGAGTGCTTTGGATTTCTGGCCTTCACTGACTCCATAGCCCACATCCTCATGGAAAACACCATCCTAGAAAAAATAAGGTCAATTACACATCAGGTCTATTACTTTCTCTGCTTGGATGATCCATGTGTCATGGATTATACATCAAGTGAATAGCGCCACCCACAGAAAAACAAAAAAACTTGGAATTAAAACCTCATGAGGGCAATATTTAAAAAATTTAGGAAACCGTATCACTATCTTTTTGAGGTATGACGGTTTATACAGAAAATAAAAACTTTCTAGTAGATTACAAATCAGCCAGCATGAATTTTCAAACAGATCGAACATGCTCTTGGCAGAAGTACAAACACAAAATCCCTATAAACACTGATTAAGTTTACCTTTAATTGTACTTTAACTATGGCGCTCACACCCACATAATACTTAGAGTTCATCTGATCAACAAAATCTGTAGAAATAACATGCAAGAAATGTAAGTCCTGTATTATTCAAGCTGTTCTCTGAGATCATTCATATAGCATCAGACCACTAAAAGAACAGACTGTGGCGATCAAAATCAGTCGAATTAACATACTAAAAGGAAACATACTGTTTGAACTTTTATGAACAAGCAACTTCACACACGAAATAAAGTTGACAATGTTCTGTTTGATAAGATAGTAGCTGTTAGCTTTTTGCCATGGTTATTGTTCCCTCAATGCTCTTGTCATATCACAACCATGGTAGTTTACATTAATGTTGCCATGGCAATTAAAAATATAATCAGCTGGTTACCAATCCCATAGAGTTCCACCCAAGGTTCTCACATACAATTACATATAACTGAGCTAATAAGTTTGTAAAAAGAAGTCGAAAATACTATTTTTTACCAAAAATGACAAAAACATTCACAAAAATATAGACTTGAAGATGACGTCAAAAAAAGGAAAAAAATTTGACAGAGGTCAACCCAAGGTACCTTCCGGAGAAAAATACCAAGTATCTAAATCATTGGGCTTGTAGTTTTCAAGAAGATGTTAAAATTGTGATTGTTGAAGAACAATAGGCAATCAATTATTTGAAAAGTTGTAACCAAACCAGGAAACTCAGTGTTTTTTATACTCCACATTATATATTCATGTATCACAGACTTAGGAATACTTGGGTTAAATTTTTAGTAGTGCAGTGATTTTAAATCTTGTGTTTACATGTTCATATGCAAAAGTGAGTACAATGAAAACTCATTCTGGGTGTAAAAATGATAATACCGTACGGGGTTCATCCTGAGTAAATAACAGAATAGAAAGGGTGCAAACCATGTTCTGTACGTTCCCCATGCACTCTCATAAAAGAACGAACCAAACTACTGGTACTATACCAATCACAATTTTTATTAAAAAAAAAAACTTTTTACACGCATAATTTAAAAAATATCGTCGATGCCTAGTAAAAACACCCTGGGCTAAACTCGTTAAATGTCTAAAAACAAAGAGGGTGGGCTTATACTGGGGGAGGTACTTATGATCCTGCAAGTACAGTAAATCAACTAGGTATGTTCAATGCAACAGTTTGATACACAGTAATTACGGTACTCTATGTTCATTTTTCACTAGCAATCAAAACATCACTGTATATGACATTCAATAGCATGAATAATGCATGAGTTACAGGAAATATTTGAGTAGTCCTCTGATACAATCCTAATTACAGTAGGCCACATTAATTTAAAAATTAATGAAGCTTTGTTAATTCATGTACGTCTGAACTCTATTCATAAGAAATAGAAATTGTAATTCAAACAAACAATCAATAAGCTGAAACGATTGCCAACATTCAGACTAGCTAAAAATCATTTAAATTTTAAGGTTTACATGTTGTAAATATTTTCCACAATTTGCGAGAGTTAAAGGAGTTAAAAAAAAAAACGAAGTAAATACTATGTTTACAGTAGCTGTTCAACTTACCAATATTTTGATGTGTCACTGAATGACTCCAGCCGTTAAAACCAAATGTTTCGTTTGCGAGCTGGATAATTCGCCAACCTTCAATGTATGCTAGCTGAAAGTCAGAAATAATGTGAAATGTCATACTAGAATCTCTCAAGTGAATTAATTAATCTATTTATTAATATTCAATACAATTTATGACATTTTCACAGTTTTGATGTTGTGCAAATCGTTCATTGACATCTAATAAAGACATCTTTATCTACTTTGCACATTAATCAACTGAAGCTCAGTATTCTCCACAGGATACAAGGGTGGTAAACTGCCACAGTGCTTTGTTTTACCACTACACTAGTCTGACACCACCACAGTCATTATCCTGACTGCCACAGTGCTTTGTTTTACCACAACACTGGTCTGACACCACCACAGTCATTATCCTGACTGCCACAGTGGTTTATTATATTATTGTTTGCATCTGGAATGAGTGTTTTATCAAGTATTTTAACCCTTATCCGGTCAAGTCAATGTAAAAGTACATGAGGCTGGTAGAATAAGTGTTAATCATTACAGGGTTTGTGATAATTTAATTGAATTACTGGTAATTATGCAAATTAGTTTGGAAATTGTTACCCGTGGTTTAAATTTCTGGGGATTAAAGTTAAATTGACTTTATGTTTACAGTTTTTGCAACATGCTATATCATTCTTGTGACTTAATTTCACCAAACGGTATTTGGATAAGTATGCTTTGTAAATAACACAGTAAAGGAATGAGCAAAACATAAACAGAAAATATCTAAGAATTCTTATTTTGTATACAAGTAAATACCTTTTGGCCACCTGGACCAGCTCTCTGACTGATAAACTCTGGTCCTAATCTCTGCCTTAGTGCTTCTTGGACTGATCTGTGTTCGTCTTCTGTAAATTCAGTCTGTTCATTAGTGAAGAAAAAATCATGATCATCAATGAATTTTTGTAAGTATACAAGGTAGATAATTTGCATATACCGGTACACTAACAGAATATAGAAATAATTAATATATTAATACTAGTACCTCTATTGTTACTAGTATTTCTGTAACCGAGTAAGGTAAAATTGGCAAGCTTAAAGATGCAGTATGAATTAAAACTGTAAAATCTTCATTAGAAGCCGCAGCTTCTATTAAAATAGTACAATGCAACAGAGGGGATGCAGCTTCAATTAGAGCATCTACACATGAATTTTTGATTCTCAATTATTCAAAAAGAATTGCTGTGATTTCTATTAAAGATGCAGCTTCTAATACAGATTTTACAGTAGTACTCTTTAGGAAAAGGGAATCAGACAGGGAATCAACTCAAGCCAGTTCAATAATCAGAAGTGGCAACATTATAGGACCTTACAGCTACATGTATTCCATCTCGAAAATCACATTGAGGTTGTTATCAAATCAGAGGATAAGGTTGGGGATGTTAGGCATAAGGATTTGTATTTAGCAGTAGCAGTTAACGGATGCAACTTGCTACCAGGCACTGGAAGCAAATATAACCACCAACCGGATATTATAACAACTCTGTTAATGGGTGTTGTTTTTTTCAAGACAGGTATCTACAGAGTGAGGCCAGGAATCTTATTATTCATGGACCTCCTACTCCAGTGTTCTATTTATTACCCAAGATTCACAAGACACCAATAACGTACTTAGGAAACTGGAACTATTTCGTCTTGTGCCAGATATGCCTACTTTTTCCAGCCTCCTTTGGATGTGAAATCATTGTATACATCTATCCCACATATGGGCATCAGCATTAACATGCTTTCTGAAGAAGTGAGTCATGCAGAATCTTGCAGAATTAGGTTTAACAAACATAAAAACTCACACTGTTAGTTACAAATGTACACTACACGCCAATGCAGTATAATCATTCCTTCAGCGAAAATTAATTCCAAGTGAAAATAAGTATTATACAGTAATATTTGTCATCACTTGCCAACCACTGTCATCATTAGAATGGTTTATTATAGTACATGTATGTGTACAGTAAATGTGGGATTGGCTCTACAGTTCATCGATGGGAGAGGGGGGGGGTGTATGGGACATTTTGCATTTGCGGTATACTGGGTAGGAGGAAACATTTATCCAGTGTTGTTACCTCATACTTCTAGTGGTCTATGCATTTTAGATACATGTATTTCAACTTCTGGGTTTGTTTTGTTACTAGTAAACAAGATCAGTTACCACATGTAGAAGATCAAGTCATATTTCAGACCTGGAACTAGACTTGCTTGCAGTCTGTTGCGATTCCGATGAAAAATCCTTTGCATAAACGAGGGGTGAACGCGAAAGTCATGAGACCGTGAAATCCCAACAGACTTGCCATCAGTGTAAGCGCCCTCACATTACCGACCAGATTCGGGCTTGTAAATTTGCTTATATGTAATAAGGTGGGCGGAGCAGCCGAGCCACGAATCATAACAATAAACTGGACATCGCACGTGCATGTGTTTACTTGTCTCGCGCTACGCGCTATGTTACCATGTTGCTGACGCCAACAAAATTGAGTAAAACAACCACCGTTTCTCCGAGAACGCAAGAAATTATCTGTACTGTGTGCGGTCTTGACATCGTAAAGGCAAACGACAGGCAATAATTGCTTAACGCTGGTAAAAAGACCCTTGCTTGCCAGGAGATTGTTGATCCGCTTTTGCAGGCAAATGTCGCCAGTTGAAGTTGTTCAAGGAAGGCGACAGCTATCGCAAAAAATATTCTAAATTTGAAAAAGTTGTGTATGATTTCCGGGGTCTCAGTTGATATGTTAATTAGCCTGTCTTCCGATTGTTTGAAACATACTAGACATATCAATCATTACAAGCCCGAATCTGGCCGGTAATGTGAGGGCGCTTACACTGATGGCAAGTCTGTTGGGATTTCGCGGTCACATGACTTTTGCGTTTATATGTACTTTTCAAGAATTTATCATCGGAATCGCAACAGACTGCAAGCAAGTCTAACCTGGAACCCAATGTAATGAATTTAACTGTATGTCATAACAATATGATACGCGTTTAATTGTAGTATTGTCCTAGTCATAGTTCTATTGTTTTAAGTTCTCTATTGTTTTAATATTTATGCAAATTTCAGTATACCCATTAGTTCTCCCATGGAGGTAGAAAAGAGAAGGAGTGAGGACGCTATTTAAGCCCATGTTAATCTTATAAACATCCTTTGTCTTCGC